TGCTGCTTCTGCTGTTCCTGCCGCTGCTGCTGCTGATGACGATGACGATGCCCATGATGATGACGATGATGCTGATGATGATGATGATGGTGATGATGATGATGACGATGATGATGATGATGATGATGATGATGATGATGATGATGACGCTACTGCTGCTGATGATGATGAGGATTATGCTGATGGTGACGGTGATGACGATGATGATGGTGGTGGTGGTGGTGTTGATGATGTTGATGATTATGATGCTGATGATGACACTGCTGCTGCTACTGATGATGGTGATGATGACGATGATGGTGGTGACTATGGTGATGATGACGATGATGATGATGATGATGATGATGATGATGATGATGGTGGTGGTGGTGATGATGATGATGATCATCATACTGTTGCTGCTGATGATGGTGGTGGTGATGATGATGCTGCTGCTACTGATGATGGTGAGGGTGACGATGATGGTGGTGATGCTGACCATGATGACGATGACGATGATGATGATGATGATGATGATGATGATGATGATGATGATGATGATGATGATGATGAGGATGATGAGGATGATGATGATGATGATGATGATGAACTTGAAGATGATGATGATGACGGATATGATGATGACGATGATGCCGCTGCTGCTGCTGATGATGATGATGACGAAGAAGAAACAACATAAGAGGGCAAACCTTGTGATGATTCATAAATTTAGCATGCAGGAAAAGGAAGAACTACTTGGGACCCCAGCGAAACTCATGCCAACCTCCCGAGAGGCCTTTGGCCAGGTCGCGATCGGCTCTATCGAGACTCCTGAACTGTTGCCAGGAGAGTTTAGGATATCCACCACTCTGGATTGCTCGGAAGCACACAGGGGCGTGGTGAGCGAGGTGATCAATTGCGGCAGCTCTCGACCTGTAGCGTTTGGAGCAAACGGGGCAGGAGGGTCCTGAAACGTAATCACGGGCGGGATTACTGTACCCGTGGACCCTATGCCTGTGGGAGAGCAAACCCCCAGAAGTGGCACAGCAGCGGCGCCTCTCAGCCGGGCAATCTGGACAGGCCCAATGGGCTTGAGGGGGCGGCTCGTGAGATCTTGCATCAAAGTACTCGGGCACGCTAGCACGTGTGCGCATGCGCGTGCACTCTGGAAGCATGTGGGCGAGCGCTCGCTTGAAGGCAAGGGGGGAGCAGAAGAGGGAGAGCCAGGGACTAGGCTGTTTTCCTGGGTCGGGCAGGCTCTGGAGGTCCAGGCAAGCCTCACGCGCCCAGCGGAGGTCGGCCTGCAGCGCCGCAGCCGCCCGGGTGCTGGGCTGGCAGCGCAGAGCTTTCAGGAGGCTGGGACCAGCAGCGAAAGAGGCCGCCGCAGTCTGCAACCGGCGCTGCAAGAGCAGGAGGTCCGTGGGAGCTCCTGCAACTCCTTGAGCACCGAAGCGTCGGTGCCGTGCCCTGTGGGCTGATACCAGCAACGCCCTGCGAGCTGACGCAGGACGCGAAGGCGAGCAGCGTGCAGGCGGTGGACAGCGACTTCAGACGGGTCGAGCCAGACCTCCGTGCCGGAGAGCAGCTTGGAGAAACACAACGACTTGGCCAGTGACAGCCTCACAGATAAAGATACATCGTAGTTACCGTACACACGATGAGCCAATGCATAGTAAACCTGCAGCGCCGAGCTCGCCTTCACCTTAGCGTCGTGCACGTAGGAGCCATTGACATGTATAGTAGTGCCAACGTGCTTATACTTGGGCGAGATCTTGATGCGGCGTTGGCCACAAAAGGTCGGAAACATGAAGCACTTCTTGGCAGGAACATAAAGCGGAGCCTTGGCCTTGCGCGACCCTTTTCCAACCAAGGATAATGAGATCTCCGTCTTCCCAGGAGCAAGATTGCAAACCAGCCCACACTCTTGGAAAGAGGCAATAGTGATGGCGAGCATATCCTTAGCTTTGATGATCAGCTTGTACGGGCAGGCGTCCGCAAGGAGCCAGACCACATCATCCACATAAGAGATATCACTAGCAACGACTGATACTGGTTCAGGATGAAGCTCATCAGGAATAGGATCTGTATCAGCATCAAGCGCCCAGGGACAGCCAGAGCCACTGACGTGAAATTCACGGAGAAGCTGGCGATCATGAGCACGACCTCTGGCAAGGGATAAGGCATATTCATACATGATGTTGAATATCAACGCGCCAATTTTGCAGCCTTGTCGAGCTCCTTTCGTAGTATGTACCGCTGGAGAATCTTCAGAAATGGTATTTTTGGCAACTGAGATCCACGTATGAGTGCGAAGATCTGCAACCAAGGTGGATATCTCCAACGACGCACCAGCAGCCATGAGGAGGTTGCCATGCTTGGAGAGGATGGACTGCCCATGCTCGCATACCTGAGGTTGGAAACCGGCAGCGCTAAGGCGAGACTGAACTTCATCCACGGGGGTACTCGGGGAGATCATGGCAAACTCTCTGCAGGTAGTGTCGAAGGCAGCGGTCAGGTCAAC